CCATCCCCATCCCCATCCCATCTCTGTCCCCATTTCTTCTCCATCTCCATCCCCATCCCCATCCCCATCCCATCTTCATCACTGTCCCCATCTCATCTCCAACCCCATCTCCATCCCCATTCCCTGACCTGGTGATGAAGGTGCAGTCATGGATGAGGCTTTCTTCCACAATGACGCCCGTCCGCTCGTCCTCCTCCACCGGCTCACGGTTGTGGTACCATCGGATCTGGGTGCTGTTGTCCAGGTAGGTGGCAGTGCACTGGAAGGGCAGTCGGTCACCCTGGAAAACCACCTGGCGCAGCGACGGGATGAGGTGGTGGGTGTGCAGCTCCGGGGCGCCCGCTGCGGGGGACACAGCCGGCCGGGTGAGCCCGCGCCCCCGCCCGCTGCCGCCGCCCCCGCCCCGGCCCCGGCTCACCGCAGCGGAGCTGGCTCTCCCGCGCGCTGCGCAGGGGGAAGGCGTGGAGGTGCCGGGGGTAGACGCACACCGTCCGCTCCGAGATCTGCGCCGAGCGGTTGCGAGCCCAGGGCAGCACCCAGCGCAGGTTGCAGTCGCACGTCAGGTACTCGGTGGCGAAGTCCCTGCAAGGGCCAGCATCACGGGGTGCCGAGGGGACCGGGGCACGCCACCAGCCCTGAGACCCTCCAGCAGGACACCCCGTGGGTGCCAAAATCCCGGGGCACAAACTCACACGACTTTCAGGGAGGGGAGCTCGTCGAAGACGCCGGGCGGGAGGCTGGAGAAAATGTTCCCGGACATGTTCCTGTGGGACAGGAGAGAAAGGCGGCGTGGAGGGGACCGGGGACCTGCTGGGAGAGGCAACACCTCCCAAAAGCACCTGAGGAGGGTGGGCACGAGGCAGCTGCAGCCCAGCGAGCCCCAGCACCATCCGGAGGTAAAGGGTAGGAGCCGGCCTCGGGATGCGGCATGGGGCCAGCCCTGGGGTGCAAAACTGCCAGCGATACCCCAGGGCAGCGGGTGGGGGCTCCTCTTGGGAGCCAGGGGACAGGGCTGGCCAGGGGGTCCCCAGGGAGCTACTTACAGCCTGAGGAGGTTGGGGAGCCCCTGGAAGACGCTGGCGCTCAGGCAGCCGATGCGGTTGTTGGAGAGGTCCCTGCAAGGCAAGCGGAGGGGCCGTCAGGGCTGGGGAGGCCCCGCTGGCCCCGCTCCCCCCAGGCCGGCCCCGGGTGCTCCCGGGGGGCTGCGCCGGCACTTACAGGCGCTTCAGCTCGGGGAGGCCGAGGAAGGCGCCTGGCTGGACCGTGCTGATCAGGTTGTTCTTCAGGTCCCTGCGGGGAGACAGACACAGCCCTCAGGGTGTGCAGCAGGGAGCCCCGTCCACAGGAGACACAACGCAGTGGGGCCGAGGGCACAAGCGCACCCCGAACCCCCAGCCCCCATCTCTCACGCACGGGTTCCTCAGCAGCCCCAGGTGCTGCAAAACCCTGCGTGGGAGCCTCATTAGCAGCTTTCCATCCCATTTCCCTCTCGTTATCTCTCCAAAGGGCACAGAGAAGGCGCGAGGCTCCCCGTCGCTCGCAGGGGGGACGCCAGCCCCTCTGTGCGCTCCGAGCCCGCACCGCGGAGCATCGCATGCCCATGCATGCTGGCGGTGGCCGCCGTCCCCTCCTGCACAGTTGTTTCCAGAGCAGCCGTATCCCGACGGATTATCACCTCCTGCACGCGGGATAAGAGTAGGCTGCAATTGCCAGCACGGCCCCAGAAGGGCTTTGCAACCCGGAGGAAGCTCGTTTGGTTTATTAGCCTGATTGGAGGCACGTATCTAATCAGAAGTATTCCAGGCATGCGTCGGTGTGGGGCAGCCGCTGGCAGGGCGGGGAGCCGGGGAGCACCGGTGGCTTTGGCCGCTCCGTCCAGCCCGGGGGACTGGCAAGGCGGCTCCTGCTGAGCACTGGCGCTGGCTGGGAGAGGAAATGGGAACCACATGGCAATGCTGTGTTTATTTATAGCAGGCTCCACGGTGCTCATCGCTGGGTCGCCCGCTGCTCCGCGTGCGGCCCTGGGGACACCCCATGAACTGCAGCCCCTGTTTCAAGGCCACAAGCTGGAGCCCGGGATGGGGGAGTGGTGCAAACCCTTCCAGTGGACCTGGGGGTGCAGGGGGGCGTGGGGGTCCCACCGGGGAGACGTGAGGGGCCACGCAGGGAGAGGGACCACGGGCGATGCTGCCTGCACACTGTAAACACAGGGACATGCTCTCCTTCCAGGCTAAAACTCACCCAAGTGGCTTCTGCGGGTCCCCAGCTGACCCCAAACGGGCAGGGCTCGGTGCAGGGGGTGCACGCCCCTGCGCTGCAAACCCCAGGGAAGGGAAACGTGGTGTGACGCCTTCCCGGCCGGCATCGTCCCGGCCCCGCTTGGCCAACACAACAGCTCTGCCCACCCCTGCCTTCCCCGACAGACAAAAGCATGTCCTGGCAGCTGCGATGGCCGGGTGCCCAGCTGGGTGTGCAGGCAGGTGTGCGGGCAGGTGTGCAGGCAGAGCGGCCAGGTGAGCGCCGGTGCTGAAGGAACAGCTCCACTCACCTGCAGCGCCAACAACACCGCCAACACCGCCAACACCGCCAACACCGCCAACACCCCTGCAAACCCCCCCCCCCCGCCCCCCGCCGCACCAACACCCGACCTGCAAACACCCGTCCTGCAAACACCCGTCCATACGTGGCCAGGGAAACCATCCGCACCAGCCCCTGCTCCCCGCCGGGGGCCACTGGAGGCCCCCAGGGACCCCCGCACCCCAGCACACACCCCAGCATGGCCTGCAGCAGTCAGGGACGCAGCAGCCAAATCACAATCGCTGCCAAAACTCAGCGTGCCTGGCCCTGGCCGGTGTGCAGCCGGGGGCTGAGGGACCACCGGCCAGGGATGGGACCCACTGGGGACCGTGCCGGGTCCTGGGGGCTCACGGCCAGGCTGGCGGGGAGCCTTCCTCACTCAGTCACTTCCTCCCGCTGGCCGGGGGCCCGGGGCTGCTGCTGCTGATTTACGATAACGCTCTTCTCTCCACACCACAGTTGTTTGCCTTTGCGTTTCCGCCGATCCCGAGCCCCCTCCTCCCCCTGCCCCGGCGGGGTGATGTGCTGCAGGCACCAGAGCCGGCAGCGGCACGGTGCCACGTGTGCATGGGGACCCCCATTGCCACATGTACGCGGGGACCCCCCTGCCACCACGCACTCCTGGGGACCCTGCAAAGCAACCGCCTCCTGCCCCGAGGCAGCGAGCCTCCATGCACGCAGCAAACCCTGGCACAGAGGGCCTGATCCAGCCTGGTGCAGCCACAAGGAGCCCAGCACCCCAGGGCTGAGCCCGCAGCCACACGAGCAGCTCCCTGTGTGCAGCAGCACCTGCTGCGGCCCAGTGTAGACAGACAAATGGACAGACTCCATCCCCATCACTGCTGTCACCATACCGAGCCCCCTTGCAGCCTGAAGCCCCAAGGGGGGAAGTGCTGGCCCCTGCGGAGGGCAGGACGTTCCCAGGCGGGGCTGCGCTAATGAGCGCGGCCGCCCCGGCTGCATACCGGCCCCGCTCAGACTCATTAATCTCATTACGCCGCTACAAATCACTGGAGATGCCATGCTGCAAGCCCGGAGTGTGGTGGTGCATGGGGGCACCCCGCACACCACCGACACCCCAGGAATGGCTCCCCTCTGTCATGGTGGGACACCGCAGCACCCACAGTGGGCGGCTGGGGTGGGCATAGGGTCCCAAAAGCTCCCAGAGCCTCCACCGTGTCCCCGCTGCACCAGCGCAGACCCTCCATGGGGCACATCTGCGCCGTGGCCCCAGACCGACCCGATGAAAACAATTATGGTTCCTGTCGAGAGCAATCAGGCGCGGCATGGTGCGATGCTGGCCGGCCGGGGATGGGGGAGCGCTGCCCATGGCCCCCCCGGCCATACTGGCACTCCCCCTCCAACCCGCACAGGGTTTTGGCACAGCAGAAGTGAGCGGGAGGTGACACGGGGTGGCTGCTCTCCCAGAGCAGGGAGACTTTTAGGGGGATGCCGGTCCCCCCGGGATGCCGGCCCCCCAGCTCCGCCACGGCCCTTACTGGCAAGCGCAGCGCCCGCGGCGGCCCTGGCTGCGCACACATTAATCCCTCCTGCTAATGAGAGCTCGGTGCCAGGAGGCAGGAGTTGATGACCCCATGCCTGGAACCGCACTGGGGAGGACTCGGCCGCATGGGTCTGCAGGGACACAGGTTCCCCAAGGTGGCTGCTTCCTGCTCACCTCTAGAACAGTCCCGGAGGGATTTCCATGGCTTTAAAATCCCAAACCAGCCCCAAGGCTGTGCACCAGGCACTGCGTGCTGTCATGCCCGCTCCCCATCCTAGCACCGTGCACGCCATCCACAGTGCCGTGCACCAGGCACCATGCACCATGGGGTGCCTGCACCCCACCCGACGCCGTGCACCCCATGCACAGCGCTGTGCACCGGGTGCTGCCCAGGGGCTGGCACCCACTGGAGGCTGCACGTCCCAGAGCAATGCCACGAGTGGGCACTGTGCATCCCGCGGCGTGGCCCTGCAGCCCCCATGCCCGCTGGAGCAGCTGGGCTCCGCTGCGGGCTGGGGCAGGTGCACACCCTGTAACTTGAACAAGATCTGCGTTAATAAACGCTTCCTTGTTCGGGCTAATGAAATGCAGGCGGTGTGGGTCCCATTGCCCCTGGGGAGCCCCCTCTCCCCCTGTGAGCCCCCTCTCCCCCTGTGAGCCCCCCAGCTGGCAGGGCCAGCGTGCCGGGGCTGTGCCGAACCCTCGGCAGGGCTGTAACCCTCCCCAGGCCCACCGCCGGCCGAGGGCACCAGTGTGGCCGCAGCGCACCACA